ATATCTGCTCCACCATTAACCTCCCCATGGGCTGGAGGTGGCTATCTGCTCCACCATGGACCTCCATGGGCCGCAGGGGGGCAGCCCGCCTCGCCATGGGCTTGCAGGGGAATCTCTGCTCCAGTGCCTGGAGCACCTCCTCCCCCTCCATCGTCCCTGACCTTGGGGTTGTTTCTCACATGTTCTCACTCCTCTCTCCAGCTGCAGTTGTGCAGGTTTTTTTCTTAAATATGTTATCCCAGAGGCATTACCGCTGTCGCTGATGGGCTCAGCCTTGGCCAGCAGCGGGTCCGTCTTGGAGCCGGCTGGCATCGGCTCTATCGGACATGGGGGAAGCTTCCAGAAGCCACCCCTGTAGCCCCCCTCCTGCTACCAAAACCTGGCCACACAAACCCAGTACATGAGTCTTAAATTTCATTGATAAAAATTATCTGTTCGTGTTTGCGTATCAGCAATACAGGTGTTTGGAGAAGGTGAATCCTAAAATACGTATTCTAAACTTTGTTAGGCAGCAATGTAAATGAACTATCTATCAATTGTCTTCCAGATACCTGGCTTACCGCAACTTCATGATTGACACTTATCGCTTAAACCCTCAAGAGTACTTGACCAGCACTGCCTGCAGAAGGAATCTGACCGGAGATGTGTGCGCTGTCATGAGGTAAAAGCCATGGATCTTTCAACCACTGCTTCCACTTTAACGAAAAGAAATAGGAGCTACATTAGACATGGAAGTGTTCCAGTATGACAGCGTAGGTGTGGGCAATGGCCATTGTGCAGTTGATTAGTGTTTGCCCACTTTTATGGTAACCAGACTATTTTATACTATTGTTTATTTATAATCTGTCTGGTTGTTGAACCATGCCTACAGAGTTTGGATCTTAACTTGTGATTATTTAGGTTCTGCTGTTTAGTAAGTATGTGGAATTTTTTCAGAAATTCCAGTTTTGCAACTCAGTTTTGTCAGTTTTATCTTTCGCCAGTCTTAAGCTGAGAGGCGCAGCGGACCCCTAGAAATTTGGAACTTGCTAAATGTCGTTTCAGTGAAGAACAGCTACAGATAGATGAGGGAAGCAAATCAATGGTTGTGCACCCCTCGCAATCCATACATCGTCTGCAAATGGTTCCATGCATGCAGCCCTAGCTTTGCTTTGCCTTTGTCCTTTATTAAGTAACTTCCTGTTATCTATAAACAAAAATGTCATGTTTTGTTTTATGCAAAAAGCTGAAGTGCGGTCAAGTCTGTACAAAGCTCGTGTTATGTGATTTGTATTGCTGTTTGTGATTTTTGAAGGGCTATAGAAGATTCTGGATCTGTGTTTGATCCAGAAACATAAACTTCTTCGTTTGCTGTCTCCTTTCTGCAGTGTGAAGCATAAGCAAGGCTTTAGTTCTTAAGGTTTTAATTTGTCATGTTGTTTCATAGAGTACATGCTTTTCTGGAGCAGTGGGGTCTCATAAACTACCAAGTGGATCCAGAAAGCCGTCCCATGGCGATGGGACCTCCCCCTACTCCTCACTTCAATGTGCTGGCTGATACACCCTCTGGACTTATGCCTCTCCATATCCGCACTCCGCAGGTGAGCCCGGCAGGTCACACTAACGTGTGTTTACCTTACCTCTAGCTAGTGCCGTGTAACATCTCGGTAGAATAATTTGCGTAGGATTTGCTGAAATGTTGCCTTTTTTTGTCTGTCTAGGTTGAGAGTTTCAGGTAGTTGGGGTCTCAAAATCTGCTAGTTTGTGTGCAAGTGATGTTATGGAAAGTCATCTCTGTAGACTCATGTTCATCTTATTTGTTCAGTCTGTGTTCTGTTTAACATTGGTCTGAAAACCTTGAATAACTTTCAATTCCTGCCCCTCTCACCTTTCCCTTGTAATGTTTGTTCACAGGTTCCAGCTGCTCAGCAGATGTTGAGTTTTCCTGAGAAAAACAAAGAGAAGCCTACTGATCTGCAGAACTTCGGACTTCGCACAGACATTTACTCAAAAAAGACTTTAGCAAAGGCAAGTATGTTGGACCTTCTGTTAAGGTTTCTTCCTCAAGTGTCCTCCACTAGATGACATTGAGTAGCTTATGTTACTTTTACATTCCTGTTTTAGATTTCTTCCATCTCAGTGTAGGATGCTAAGATACCTCACTTACGGTTGTGTTGGAGATCTGATTTTGTAGAAATAGAGACATGTACCTATCCTAAGCTAGTCAATACTGTTAGTCTCCAGACACTGAACTCTTATTCTGTTATTGTATATTTTACCTGAATGGTTCAGAATCAACAGACTATCCAATAATTTAATACAGAATCTAAGATCTTTCAGCAGAGTCTTTAACCATTCTGTTTTCCAAGTCTGAGCAGGGTTTTCCAGACTGACAGCACTAGAAAGTTGCTTGATTACAAAAGGTGTCACAAAACCGTTGCAAGGGGGATGTTTTAACACTGTCATTGCAATGTATTGTATTGTACAGTTAAAGTTTTGCGACACCATTGCAGTCATGTCAGTAATTCCATAACCTGTTGCCATTAACTCCTCCTGCTGCCCAATACCTGCGTGTGTGCTTGGAGGTATTGCAGGAATACCAGTTTACTACTTCAGCGTAGCCTTCAGTCTGGAAGTCTGCCTCTCTTGGGCTGACATCAGGCTAATTCTATGTAATTGGTTTCTGTAAGTACAGTGTTCATTGTCCCAGCAGATAATGAAATAACTATTTTAAAAAAAAAACAAAACACCATAGTTCTAGAGATCCTGATTCCATATCGCATTGCATGGAGTGGCTTTTTCAGTTAGTTTAGGAAGGTATAAATATTCACCAAATTCATAAATCTTTTGCTGGTTCTAGACTCTGATTCTGTTTACAAGCATCTGTAACAATGAACTTGAGCAGATTTATTTGCAGAAGTTGATTTTCCTTTTTGTTTTATGTGTGTGGCAATTGCTTTTTTGGCTGTTCATACCAGCCTCTTTGAGAACTGATCAGCTGCTGGATGACTCACTGTGATTAATGTTCTCTGTGGGTTGATGATGATGTTTGAAATGCATCTTGAGATAGGATAGATTTACTTATCCTAAATACCCTTTTCCTTTTGCTGTGATCTTGCACAGAGGTGTCCAATCTAGATAATGTTCTTTCATAAGCAGGTGACAAGCTGCTTTTGTCTTTATTTGACATGCAATGGATTAGGGTGTTTGTAATCACGGAAGGGGAAGTTTTCACCAAGAGTTTTGTAACTTTTAGCAAGTCTCAGGAGTTAACCATGAGGTATAGATTTCGGAGCAGCAACCCTGGGAGCAAGTGATTGTTAAATTTGCAGATTATCTTGCTGTAATTTTGTAACTCTGTCTTTTCAGATAGCTCATCTCACTTGTAGAGATTTTTTTTTTTTTAACTGAGTTACTGATGAACTTTTAGACAGATGAACTTTTTTTGGACCAGCATGCACCTTACACAGTCCAGTCGGTCTGTCTTGGAAGCAGAGGTTTAATGGGGGCTAAAGTTACGTTGATGTAAACCCTATTCTTTTGAGAAAGGTGCCCTTTAAGCTGAGAGAATCCCAGGTGTGCCTGAATCAAGTAACACCATCTCCTCAAGGGACAGCAGCCTCCTTCGGCTGTACAGCAGCTGGTGAGGGGGTTAGATATTCCGTTGTGTCTGTGGGCTGCTGCTGTCCTTTGGTGTGAAGTGTAGAACGCTTTGTGTAAAGTGCTCTGTTTTTGGCTTAATTTTACTGGCCAAAGTCAAGCTGACCAGAATGCCATCAGCACTCCTAAGAGTTTTTATTATTTAGGAAATCCGCTTTTCTGTTTGCTGTATGTGCAAGTAAAGATAGTCGGGAGCCAGGAGGAAAGGGTACCAAATCACTTTGCTTTGGCTTGGCATAAAAGAGGAGTTGCAGGTTCTCCTGGAGGTGTTGGGAAGGTGGTATCTGTGATCCCCAGCCTCCGCAGAGACTGCAGGAATGTATTCGCCTGCGTGCGTTAGCTACGTAAGTAAATCATGTGAACTGAACCACTGTATGAGATAACCAGGGATTGGTTAGCTGTAGTAGGAAGGTTGTGAAAGGTATGTGTTTGAGTGCATTAAATAACATATTCCTCCCCTTTCCTTCTTAATGTTTTCTTCTAAAAAGTTCTGTGCAAAAAGACTTGTATTTCACTTTTTTTTTCCTCCCTGTCTTTTGTAGAGTAAAGGTGCAAGTGCTGGAAGAGAATGGACAGAACAAGAGACATTGCTGCTATTAGAGGTAAGTTCATGAGGGCAAAACCAAAGGCTAGGAAACCAAAACATGCAGGATATTACATGCTTTAAACGTCTACATGTAGGTTAATAATTTTTTTGAAGTGGAGTTAGATGATAACTGCATGCTTTTACAGAAACTGGAATAGCAAAGCAGAGTTTATAGTGGGAAGCAATCTCTTGGCACTCAATGGAGGTAGCTGGAGGAGGAGAGTGGTTGAGTATGGTGTATACACAGCTGCCTGTCTGTCTATTGTGGTTATGGCTTTTAAATTGGTGAAAGATTACAATTCTCCCTCGAAACCATATCTCTTTATTTGACCATCATGGCTACAAGAGTGTTACTACTAAAAAGAAATGGCTCTAACATCTATGTAGTAGAGGGGCTTCATGCACTTTAAGGTTCGTTTCTATCTAACTTGTACCTGCAAGCCAGAAATTAAGTATTTAAGAACATTTGCATAAACTCAGGAACAGATCTTGCAGTGCAGAGAGGCCTTTTTATTAAACAGAAGTTACTAACAGTATGAAATAAATGCCCTTCAAGTAATGATTTACCTGCCACTAAGATGAATATTTTGAAATTCTGGTAATCTTTACAGGTTCCTGGCTATGCCACAGTATGTTAGGGAAACAGCTAATTTTTGAAGTTTAAATTGTTAAGAAACAGTTGAGGCTGTTTCCTGTCTCCTGCCACTAAGAAGGGAAGCTCTTCATTTGGTAGCTTTTTAATCCCATACATCTACTCATTCTTTTTGCCACATAACTGCACTTGATATATTCTTTAAGGTTTTTCTGGAAGTCTACAAGAAATATACGTGAGGACTCAAATCAGGTACTGCAAAAATGAGCTCAAAGAACTGCAGGCACACTAGATCAGGTTTTTGTCCCCAGATTGCTTAATCTGATGCTCTTGAACCACATGGTAGTCGTCAGGTCTCTTGGAGTTCCAGTCTAGGATGAAAACCGTCACATGAGGTGCACTGCAGAAGTATGTTCTAGTCTTTCACATTGACATCAGGGCAGTGTTGTTTTTCATAACACTTCATCAGAAGAAGAATCTCGGTGGCCTGAAATAATTAATGTGCTGCCGCTTCCTGTAAAGAAATTATCTACTAACCTTTCTTTTACAGGAACATTTTCTTTATGTAGAGGTTGGGTGGTTGATTTTTTTTCCTTTTATGTAATTCAGGTTTCTGGTATAAGAATTCCAGTTTTGGGGGGTTTTTCGTGTTTGTTTTTACTTGAAAAGAGAGCTTAAAGCACACTGCAATTGTGTGATTGTTCTGGATTTTTTATCTTTACATGTGTCAGTAAACCCATTGAAAAGTTAATTTCATAAGGAAAAGCATGGACAATGGATCTTGACAGTGCTTGACGGTGCTGAACAATACTCAACTTCTGTGTGTGGCATCTTTTCTGAGCTAGCCAAAGTGCCTGATCAGCAGCATACTTTGATTCAACCTTCACAGATATGGAAGTGTGTTCATCAAACAGCCAAAATAGTTTTGTTTTGTTTTGTTGGGTTTTTTTTAATGTTAGGTTAATACCCACTATTTAGGCCATACTTTTCTATTGGCACGTGGAAAAATTTTGCTTATAGGGTGAAAACAGCTAAGATGTCTTTCGTGGCATTCTTGTATGGAGAAACAAGACTAGTATCTTGATATGCTGGCTTCTTTGCTTACTAGTATTATTATTTAAAATTCATTCTTTTGTAGCTTATGGTCATACATAGCAAGTAGTAGCCTAATGAAATAATCCAGATGACATACTCTTCTTTGTTTCAAAAAAACAAAACAAAAAACCCCTGTCTTGACATTACAATTTTATTTAATGTGAGTATAAATTAGTAATGTTTTTGTTCTTCATTCTTCGTGGATGTAACCTATGAATAAATCAGTAAAGAGTATATCAGTTCAAGCATAAGTAATTCAGCTATAACAAGCCACCTCAGTCCAATTAAATCCTCAGGGTAGCTTTGGGCAAATATATATGCAGTGAAGTTCTAAAGAATAAATCTTATCTAAAATAATTATTGTCCTTCTGCCTGTTGACTGAATAAATTGGGGGGAGGAAATACTGTTTCCCTCCCAGAATCATCTTCCCTGCCACACTGTTTCTCCGTATCTCCACGGAGTACTATTCTTGCGTAGTTAAGTGCATTTTCAGCTATTTATAGTAAGGACAACTATTGTGAGAGCTAGTTCGTCTAGCAGAAAAATAACAAGCAATGAAGGAGAATGAGCAAAAAAAACCCTGCATGGCCATGAAAAGCAGAGCCAATCTAATATGCTAGTGTGATTAAAAATGCATAGACAGTGACACACAGCCTACAGCACAGAGATGAAATTAGGGAAGGTGAAATGAAGGTGAAACATTGAATAAATATTTCCCCATGAGTATGACCTTGTGAACTAAGCAGTTTCTCATTTCTTTAAACACTTGGGGAAGATCAGACAGAGGTCAGGAGAACGGTTCATAAGCAGTTAGGGACCGTTGATTCCTGCCGTATGGACCGGGCTGTCCAATGTAGTCTGTGCTTTGTTCATTCCCAAACCAAATTATTCTTTCCATTGAGCTTTCAAAACCCTTCGTGTTGTCTAGCTCATGGTCTTCAACAGTTCCTGTATTGTTCTTTCCATCCAGCTAAGCTCTGCTGGAGCACTGCGTTCCCGTAGTCTGGTACTTGCCCAGCTAATCTTCCACCCAGTGTCTTAAGGGAGGGGAAGAAGCAGAGAACCACTGGCCTTCTGAAGATATACTGGGGTTTTTCCCTCCTCCCTACCCAACTTAAGCAGTGACACCTAGCTATGAGAGAGAGAGAAACTTAAAACTTCAGCCAGGTAAAGCTTAAATCGCTTTCAGGTCAGGGGGCTAAAAGGCTTCAGTTTTAGGAGCTTTAGGAGCAGGCAACTTGGTCTTTTTTCTCTAGTTTGTTCAGCGCCTGTCGGATCTCTAGCCCTTCTGGATTTAGCTCATCTGTCCTTGTTAGTCTACTTCCACATCTTTGAAAATGTTACTGAGCTTGCATTTTTTCCCCAGCTGACCTTCAATATCCATGACATGCCAAAGAGTCATGTTCAGGCAGATTACTTTGTCTTTGAAGAATTCTCATAGCTTATGTTTTAGCTGCAGAAACACTAAAACACTTTTCCTCCAGAACTGCTGTGAAGAAAACAGTATGTTCAGGAACTCCTGGATTTTTTTAAAAAATGTTTTGTGTTGATGAAAAAGACTGGTTTACCTATAGTCCTGCAGGCAAATGTCTTCTGAATGCACAACTTTCATATATATAGTAACTTGTTTTGTGGAAATGTCCTTTCCCAGGTTGGAGAACTGAACACGAGGCTGCTGGCTCAGTTTCTATCCTCTACTTGTCACTAGTAACTCTGCAGAAACATCCAGCATATTAACTTTGTGTACTTGTGTGTACTACTCAGACATGTTGGATATATCCTCCTCATGATGTCTGACAGATACAGTCCAGCTCAAGTAGCCCACTTGCTCTGAATTCTGCCTTCATGCTATGAAAGGTTGTGCATGTGGAAAGTTAAGTCAGTCTTGTGTGTTACCCCGACGGTTGAGATTTCTGGTAGTTCTCAGCCTTGTGGGAAAGATTTCAAGTATTGAAAAGCCATTAACTTCATTTGTTTTTAACATTCACGCTTAAATGGACATACTGCTTAGTTGTCATGAGTAGTTAGTAAAGGAGGAGGATGATTTCTGTGTCTTCTGAAATATATTACACCTGTAAACGGGTGCCTTAAAGTCCAAGGCAGCCTGCCTGATGGCCAGCGAGTCGGTGAGGACATAGCATAGAGATCCTCCAAGCAGTCTAATAATACCTACTTCAAACTCTGTTCTTCCCGCTCCCGCAGTTATTGCTAAAACGCCTGCTCGCTTGCTGTGAAGCAGTGCAGAAGCTAGTTACCTTTATGTTTGTTGTAGGGTAAGTACAGCATAAGTAAAAAACCAGCTTGACTTCTCGGCCAAATATGTTAAACTTAAAAATGAAAATGGGATCTGTAACTCAGACAGAAAGGTGTTTACCACCCTTGCTCAGGCCTCTGGTATTAAATATTTTCAGAAGACTTCTGTTATGCCTGTGAGTTGCAGATCCCATTTTCTTTTTTAAGTTTAACATATTTTTCCTAGATCTCAAATGGCTTTTTACTTTTTCTGGGTGACTGGACCATGAATCATCTCAGTAATGTAAAAGTTAATGGTTCAGGATACTTCAACATTTTTTTTATGCTATCCAAATGCTTAAATAACTGAAACAGTTTTCAGGAAAAAAAATGCTGTTAGGCTACTGTGTTGGGTTTTTACAGTACTAATTTGTTAGTTTTTCAAAAACTAGTGCAGGGATTTCAGTAGCTCGTTGTTATTAAATTGTTTTGTTAAGACTTCTCTTAAGTTAACTTTAAAAGCGACTGAAATTCTGAATTACAAAATCTTTGATTTAATCTGGAAGTTCTTACTTTATCAGGTGGCTTGTCTACATAATAATGATTTGTTAACCTGAATGCAAAACAAAAATCAGACTGGTTAACAGTTACTAGAGACTGATCTCTTCTGGCTTCATGGTACAGAATATATTTTCCTTGTTTGTCCTGGTATATTGGTTTGATGCTCTTTTGTTTTTATAACATCTGTTGGATCTAAAAACTGGACTTCACCATCATAACTAGTGTGTATGTGTGAAATAAATCCTGTTCTGCCCCAAAGAGCTTATGTGTTAAGACGTGAGAGAACACGAGAGCGCCCTCGGGGGGCGGCGAGGGAGGGTAGTTGTGGGAATTAAAAGAATTGGTGAGACTTGGTAGGATAAACAAACTTATTTCTCTGTAAAGGTTTTCATGTGAAAGCAAAATGGTGAAAACTAACTATGCAAATATTATTAGTAAATCCCAAATCTTCTGAGCATTCTTTTTGATACAGTAACAGCATAAAACTCGTGTGATGATCCCTGCAGCTTAAATTTAGCTGATGTCCCAGTGAGATGTTCATATTTCTTATGCAGAATAATTTTGCTACCAGAAAAAATACGATTTTAAATAGTTGTCTGATCCTGATTTATTGTTCCATCATCAAAATAACTTAATGAAATTGTTTTTGCATAAAGTAGTTTGGGTTTTTTTTTCCCCCCAGAGTAGGGAATTTTATATGCAACGATTTTCATCTTTTGCAGGCTCTGGAGATGTACAAAGATGACTGGAACAAAGTCTCAGAGCATGTTGGGAGCCGTACCCAAGATGAGTGCATTCTCCATTTCCTGAGACTTCCGATCGAAGACCCCTATTTGGAGAACTCTGATGCGTCTCTGGGCCCGCTGGCTTACCAGCCCGTACCCTTCAGCCAATCTGGCAATCCAGTGATGAGTACCGTTGCTTTTCTGGCATCGGTGGTGGATCCCCGGGTGGCATCAGCCGCAGCAAAGGCTGCGTTAGGTATGAGTTTGCCCCAGCAATTTTTTTTGCCTTGTCTGTACAACTTTGCTCTCTGTTAGTCTGCTCTTAAAATCGACTGTTTCTGCAGTTTCTTCAGGGTGGGTAATAAGTTGTAAAAACAAATTTACATATATGTAGAAAACAGGTCTACTGATCTCCAGTTTTGTATTCTGTTGTTACTGAAACTGCCAATTTACAGGCAAGTTAGAATAGCTCTTAACAGCCACCGAATGTCTAAAGATGGCTTGCATTCTCCTTTTGTGCTCACTGCCTACTGATAGTGTTTGCAAGCACCACCGAGTAGTTGGTGTTAGTGACCACTGTCATTAGTTTAGCTATGGGTAAATGCACAATGCTAAACTTTCAGTTTTCCTGATTTTCTTGTGTGAAATTATTTGCCATAGTTATTTGTGTCCTGTAAGAAACTTGATGAAATAGATCCTTTCACTGTTTTCCTTATTTTTCCATGTAAAAGACAATTTTGCATAATTGGGAAGAGACTCTTTCCTACCACATTTGAGAGAGAAAATTAACTACCTAATGTGAAAAGAAGGAACTTACATATTTGAGAATTCATTCCGTCATGAGATTTATCTGCACATTGATCTGAGAAAATCGTAACTTGATCTGCCTTAAAACCCTTGCAATATAACATTTTCCATGTAATTTTTAACAGAGGAGTTTTCTCGAGTCAGAGAGGAGGTGCCACTGGAGCTTGTTGAAGCTCATGTAAAGAAAGTACAGGAAGCAGCAAGAGCCTCTGGGAAGGTGGATCCAACATACGGACTAGAGAGCAGCTGCATTGCCGGAACAGGTCCAGATGAGCCGGAGAAAATCGGTAGGCTGTCCATCAAAATGCAGAAGTTTCTGCAGATGAGGTTCCTTAGGCGTTTTCTTCTGACTTGTAATAAACCCTAAGTTCACCTCCAATACGAGATGGGAATCGCGAGTAAGGAGAGTGTGACAGGTCATTACACTTCTGCTTGCTGCAGGATTATTAACTCTTGACACTGAATTGATGACTTTAGGACCAGCTTTAGTTTTAGAAATGTTTTCCTACTCTGACTACATGGAAACGCCACTGCTTGGGATGCATAGAGTTGAGTGGGCAAAAATACCAGAGCAGAAGGTTTCATGCCAATTCTGTGGGTATTGGAGTAGTTAGAGGATGCTGCCTTTCTAGCATTATGGTCACGATAAAGCAAACTGAGTTTTATTGGCTCTTTGTGCTGCAGCTGAATCTATAATGTTGTATCACGCCTTTTGGTAACCAGTTTTAATGTAACTCTTGTACTCTGAGTGCCTTGCTAACCGTGATGGTAACAGAAGAGGAACTTTTTATTAAATGGTGGACTGGCACATGATAATGCCACAGTTCTTGGCTCTGGTTGTTGGACATTACACTGCCATACTAACAAGCTCTCGGTTTAGAGCTCGGTTTCAGTTGAGCTATTTTCTGTAATATTCAGCAGATACTCTGGTATTAAGTCTCTTATCTGAAACTTTGACAGGTGCAAATTGTTTATTCATTACTATGGAAAGTAAAAGCATATCTTGTGGCAATGCCCTATAAAGTGAAACCACTTTGTGTAACCCTTTTTAACTCTATTTTGGCTCTCCTTCAACAGTAAAATGAGTAGACACGCACATTTTGCTACGTACTTACTGACTTTCTCAGACTTTCACCTCTTGAGTTTGGTACAGATCTACCGACTTGTCTGTAGATCTTTATTTTTCTCTCCAGCATTGTTGGCTGCTATTTTGTTCAGCTTATCACAAACTGTTTTGGTGAATTTAGTGACTAAAGGCACGTATAGCTTTGGGTAAAACTGAACAGAATGTAATCTAGATTGACTGGAAGGTTTGATTTGGGCTGTGTTTGCACATCTCATAGTTGACCTGCTGTCACCCTGTCTAGAGACATGAGCAAGGTGCCAGATTGTGTGATGGGATCATAAGGGACCTCGTGTTCCAGTGCTGTTCAGTTATCAACTGCTAGTCATTGAGGTGAAGATGCGTGTCTACATTGTAAAACTACCCTTCTAAATGAGATTTTAAAGTACTGCTTAACTCATGAAGGTACCTTTTAATAGAAGAGAAGTTAACAGACCACTCAGTCCTTCTGTTGCATTTTTCAGTTCTACGCTCAGTGGGATAGGCTTGATGTGCGGCAGCTCGGTGCTTTGGGAGGATATTGAGTATGTGCTGAAAGGGGAACACGAGCATCTGGAATGTCTGCCTCTCCCTGTTCTGCAGTGCTCTGTTGTACAAAACTGACACCAAGCATCGAAGCCTTGTTGAAAGGGCAAGGCTTTGGGGTTTATTTTCAAGTCGACTATAAAACAAATCTAGGTGTTATTCCATCTGGGACTAAGTTTAATTTGATAGTTATTTTAAAATAGGCTCAGCTTAGGTTAATTTTTTCTTACTGGCACTTTGTTTCCTTTTTCCATATTCTCCAAGTACAGGCTTCACTATAGTACATTAAGGACCTCTGTAACATGTATGCTGCTTTGAGTCTTAATTCTTAATCTTGCAGCATGACCGTGGAAGTTTACCATTGCTGCATCACTGGTGATACTGCAAGTCTGTAGGTTAGCCCCTTCTCTAGGAGAATGTGCACACAAGTTGCAAATAGAGATTTTGAAGTGCTTGTCATTTAATATGCGGAGTTGGAGAGCAGATGACCGTAACATGATTACTTCTGAACGAGCTGTGTGGTGAGTTCTATAAGTAATACTGTCCTGTTATAGTTAATGCGATTTGTATTGGGCTGTGACTAATGGAATAAATTAGGACAACAGCAGATGGTTCTCCCTGGGGGAGCTGCTCAGCAAGAGTGAACTGGGTCACCCAACAATCTGTGGTGCCTTCCACCTCCAAAACAGCTTTGCACTGGAGGGCATAGGGGAATCCGTAGCTTGCACTTGCAGAGGTGTGTTTAATACATTGAAGTGTAGTGTTTTGGTGTGCAATTGCTGAAATGGAGCTGTGTTTTTGCATGGCTAGTCCTGAAGTTTCTGGCATCTAAATGCCACTATGGAGCACTAAAAATACCTACTTAGGGTTCCATACTATAATTGAAGTTCATCAGTTGTTATATTTTAGAAATAAAATTGTATCATGGCTCCATGATAGTTTAAAAACTCTTAATATTGGTGAATTATAGGCACTGTGGAATGCGAAAGGGGAAAATATGACTGGAACAGATTGCAGGAGCTTACATTAATACCCAAGAATCTCCTCTTTTAAGTCTTCGTTGTTAGTTTTTCTGAAAGCTGATGATGGTTCCTTTTAAATTGATACAGTAAGGCTTCAGTAGAGTTAAGAGGAGACTCAAGTGGTTCAGATGCTGTGGTAAGCATGGTAGACACTGTCTTTTGCTTTCCAAGATAGGGCCCCACTGTAGGTTACACAGTACAGCAGATGAAGATGCTCTGCATCTGTTTTAGTAAAAATGAATTGAGGAGAGCAAACAAGGGATCCTAGCTCCTTAGGCTCGTGATTAAGCTCCAGAGAAGGGAAATACTCAGTATGCCTGTGGTACTTAGTAGTTTCAATTAAGTCTTCACTGAGTATGCGTGCTTTCTTACTGGCTTTCCAAAGGTGATTAACTACATTGACTGCATATATGTGTGCTGAATGAGGCATGAGGCAGTCTCTCATGTGCCTGTGTTGGAGGCAGTTACTTGTGCGTTTTAGGTCTTATTCTAACAAGTATTTCACTGAAAGTATTTCCGCTGACACAAGTGTGTGGATGCTTCAAGCTGTAGCTCATCTGTGACAGTAAGCACTGAGGGAATGGTGGTCTGATTTACTGTCTCTGCTACAACTGTAAGCAATTGAAATGGATTTAACATTCATGGATGATTTTGTATCAGTCTCAAATACACATACTAGAAAACTACACACAAGTATACATACACAAGAGAAGTTATTTTACTTCATTTTTGGCAGGATGATTTCTCTTGCGGTCTCCAGGGTGTGCTTTAACTCTGAAATAACGCAAGCATTGCTAAAATGAACAGACTCCGAGTACTTCATTCACTTTGCGTGTATCCAGGTGCCTGTGAGCTAGTTCTGCACCGCTGGAGGATTGAGCCCATCAGTCCTCTTGTGATGGACACGTGCAGCTCGCATGAAAGCTTTCTGTGAACTCTCTACCCTTCTTCGTGGAAGCCCACCTGGTTGTTGTGCTGTATGCCGACAAGATGCATGAAGCAGAAACAGAGGAAGCTCTGGTGGCTGTGGAGTCCTGACTTACTGTGAAAAAAGTGAATTATGGTTTAGATAATAGCGTAATTATCATATTCAGACCCAGAATTTTTCCATAGCTGTAGTATATTTCCTCTCAATTAAATATTAATATTCAAGTCTGACTTTTGATGGGTTGTGTGTATTACCTTAGTGAAAGCAAAGGAGACTAGGGTGTCTTGAGGGCATCTTTAAACTATTTGCTGAGCTGAAACTCACGTTAGTGATTCTGTTCATTTATATGCGGAGTTTTGCTTATTGTTCTTCCGATGACAATGGAGGTGATGTATTTGCTTATGCTGGAAGTGTCTGTTTGCTGGTAATGCAGTAAATTCTTACCATGGAAATATTTTACAGTTGTACTTGTTGACGTAATGTTGATTTAACTTCTCTGTAAAGTCACGGGGCTTTGTCAGAAGTCGGTTATAAGTTCTTTATGTATTAGAAAACAAGGCTCCGTGTTCTTGGAGATAATACGCAAAACAGAACAAGCTTCCATAGAGACAGAAAATATTTGCTGCTTCAGCTTTGAAGAGGGCCATGGAGAGGCAATGTTTCCTGGTCTGCAAGTGGTTTCTCCTTCTTGAAAGATGTCTTGTGGTGTCAGTCAACCATCTGCCTCTTGCTGATTTAAGAAATATCGTTAATTTGATTCCCCAGAGCCTGTGAGGTGTAATACCAAACCTGCTGAAGAGGTTAAAGAGCATCATTGGTGCCATGTAAAAGGGATTACAGGCTCTTTCTCATTAAAGTCAAGTCTTCCCCTTTTATAACAGGGACATGTATCTCCAACTAATCAACTCCTGTTTGCATTGTCAGTAACGTGTTTTCATTAACCTCATTAGATCATACAGGAAAATCAGTACGGTTGTGTTTGTATGCAGCTGAAAGGCAGGAGTCATTTCTGTCCTTCTCATGCAGAGAGTCAGAAATGTTTTGGGCTTTTTCTGATCCTTTCATATTTGAATTAGAGATTAATTTTTATGGGACTCTTAATTGGTTTGCGGTACTTTAATAGCCTGTGATTTAGAAGCAAAAACCTGCTTCAGCCCAGGTAAACTTATTTAACCCTCACATTAATAATTGATAGCTTTCATTTTCTTTTTCCTTATACATGTAGTATTTCAGCATGGTCCCCTTGATGTACACAAGTGCAGAATGGCTTATGCCAGTGGGAACTGCAGAGGCATAGCGCTGTCACGGCAAATAAGGGCTTAGTACTTAATTCAAGAAAACAGTTTTCAAAAACCATTGACTACAACCTGCCTAAAGTTGTTATCCTAATTTTAAAATAACATTTATTGTTACAGCCAGGACTAGAAAACCTAAGTTAAATCAGGTTGTTCACAGTAATCTCACTGTCACACATACATACCTCTGACTCTGTAGCTGAATGTGTCCCTATGTAATATAAAAGAACATTTTGTTTTGGAAAGTGTCTGTCAAATGTATTATGGTGCAAGGGAGAGTCCAAGGGCAGTTTTCCTTACTGTGAGGTGCTCTATGTGCTTTTTTCATTGAGCAAATTTGCCTTTCTGGGATGTCCTGTTTGCCTTGGAACTTCCTTCACAGCAGTGGTCACTTAACAACTCTTACTGTGGTCTACAGATTGGTCTACAAATTTGCTCAGAGAAGTTGTGGATGCCCCATCATTGGAAGTGTTCAAGGTCAGGTTGGATGGGGCCTTTAGGAACCTGATCTAGCAAAAGGTGGCCCTGCCCATGGCAGGGGGGTTGGACTGGATGGTCTTTAAAGGTTCCTTCCAACCTAAACCTTTCTATGACTATATGAAATAAAAAAGGAATATTTAATAAAACTTGCCCCAATACTTGCAGAGTGTTAAGAGCAAACACTTAGAATCTATGATAATACTTGATGGGTAGCACATTGCAAACCTACACAAACTCATCCTGCGCTCGTGTCTTTAGCTGCTGCAGCGACTCATGCGTTGCTGGATGCTGCTTTTCTGAAAAGCTTTACCTTAAGATGGGAAACCTTAAGATGGGAAACCTTCAAATGCATTGTAATCAGAAAACAAAACCCACATTCAAAATTGAGTTTAGAGTGGAAAGGGAGTTCAGTCTTATCTAAAAGACACAAGAACAAACTGACTTTCTGGGTAGAGGAGGAAAGTTTGTGTCTTATAGGACTTTATTTTATGGCATTCTAGGGGCAGCTTACATGATTATTGTCTTACAGCTTTCTCTCAAATGTGATTCAGAATCTAGCAAGGAGTATTGTCACCTGTGAAATTTGCATTCCTGAGCAACTCATGTGCAATTGTGTCACAAGAACTTTCTAGGGAATTTTTCCCCCTCCCTCGGAGTTGTCCTGGTTTTGGCTGGAATGGAGTTAATTTTCTTCCTATTAACTTGCGTGGTGCTGTGTTTTGGATTTGGTATGAGAGTAGTGTTGGTAGCACACTGATGGTTTGGTTGTTGCTAAGTGGCGTTACACTAGTCAAGGACTTTTATAAATGTGAAGCTGCAGGCTTCTGTGGGAACTCCTTTGGACTAGGAGCCTTCAACAGATGAGATAGTAGCCTGATGGTCAAGATGCTCGCTGCTGGTATGGGATGCTGCGACTTGAGTCTCTGCTCAGCCTGATTCTAGGCTGGAGAACCTAAGCTCCAGGTTGCTGTCTTCCAGAACCAGAAGAGTGAAAAAATTACCAAGTCATGAGCTTTTAAGAGACAGAAGCCTCCCTGTTTTGACTTAAAATTGTCCACAGACTAGAGCTTTTCTGGCCTGTTTCACTCTGACTTGGAGTTTTGTAGGAAGCAGAACTTCAGAATTGCTCCACTTCCCCCTGTGGTGAAGTTTTGGGTTGATTATACTAAATTACAGACTTTTTTCTTTCTGTTACACTGTATCCCAATATGAGGAATCTTGACGTTCTTGGTGTTTGGGCTAAGCCACATCAAAATGAAAACTTGTGTATTCCTGTGTAGTATTTTCCTAGTTTGAGCTCATGATCTTCCACTCTATAAACCCAAGCACACTTGGAGTGTTCTGCACTTTTTCTCCACTTTTTTTGCTAAAGGAGAGAATAAAGCTTTCTTTGTAAAGCTTTCTCTTTCATTTACTAGGAGGGATGACACTTTTAAGCGTTCGGAGCTCTGCTTCTAGGCTTGAAATAGCTGTCTGACAAAATCTAATCTAGATTTTCCCTGTGACATTATTAGGTCACTGAAACCTAACTCTGAGATAAAACTTCTGAGGAAGTATGTCCCCAGTCTCCATAAATTGAATTACGGTGGCAGATACTTCAGATAAGTAGGTTTATCATCTTAAAATAAGCCAAGAGGAAAACCATTATCTTTCAGTCAGACATTTTAGTATGTTTTTCTTATATGTGGAAGGGACTTTTGTAAAAACGTCTCTACAGAACTGTTGCTATTAAAACACCTGTTTTTCTTCAGTGTAGCACACAGGAATTACCAGTAAAATAAGGATTACCGAAAATGAACACCCTACGCCCGCCAGTGTCTTCAGAAGCTTAGAGATGGATCAGGGCTTTTCACCAAGAGTTTTATATTGGTATGGCAGCATGTGTTGAAGTCCATGATCCAAATAAGCTCATTCTTTAATGCCCCCTGTACATTAAATTGTACTAGAGTTTCTGTTCTTGCAGGTCTAAGATCCTAGACAAGGAGTACGAGGTTGTGCTGACACTTCCCTCTTGTGCATTTTTGCAGAACAGCTGGGTGCTGCAAATAAATCGGTATTTCTTGGACTTTTAAACAGTCCATGTGCAAAATATCTGGAAGTAGTACATTATTCAGACACCTTCATGGTATTCTCCATCAATATGCTTGTTATCCTCTTATCTCAAAGAGGCCTGGTATTAGTGCTATCATTAGCAGGAACATTTTAAATAAGTGTTCTGTAAAGGAATAACTTAATGAATGAACCAAGGGTTATCGCCAGGAGATGTGTACTAAGCACAAGAAAATGCTAACTTCTGTTAAAACACGTTTCTCTTATGAGGTGCATCCAGCACGTGGTAACACATGGTTTTTAATGTGTTAAAATTTTTTTTCCTTCCTCGTTTTGGTCTCACTTGTATACCAGTTAGGCTGTTACCTAGTCTTCTTATGTAGATGCTGAAGTTAGATGGTACGATAACTGGTCAGCTGCTACTCAAAAAGCAATCTGTAACGTAAGGGCGCCTGGCTCTGTTTTGGCAGAACTCTTCAGATATGTCTGTAATAGCTATTTGAATGCCAAACAGACAGTAAATAAGAGGTTATAAGCCTGAAGAGCTCAGTCTAGTCAGCCAAAAAAACAAAATGAGCAATAGCAGGAAGCATGTAGTTGTGTATTGAAGCTAAGATTTTTTCATGCCTGGTGGTAGGGCACTCTGAAGGTGCTTGTGGTCAAGGTCAGGTTTTTATGGGTGTCTGGCAAACTTGTTTTGGGTTCCAAATATGAAGGTGTAAGAGGCAGCGGGTGCTGTCCTGACCCACACATCCATGGCAGTGAGAGAACCCTCCAAGTATCTAAATAGTTCATATTATATGCTTGTAGCTTCTTAGGAATATTTCCCAAATGCCTTGTACTCTTCTGTTTTGACTGCTGAGGAGAGGAAGACTTCTTTGATCAGACACTAGGTGGAGATTTTTGATGACCAATTCAAAACCGGAGGCTGCAGTGATGTAGTTGAGCTGCCTCTGCTGTGGGTAGAGGTGTCCTCCTGAGCACATGCTTGGCATGCTGCTCTTTCCATAAGGAAGTACTTCATGACTCCAGTATGGGAGCCTTGTCTTGGAGCCAGTCTTGGCAAAGGTTGTCTCGTGTGATTCCTCTGAAGATTCAGGTCATGGTGTAAGGCTGAGGCTCTACCTCTTGGAGCAGTCCAGGAAATTATTGCCCAGAGAACCCAACTGGTGGTTTTATGGAGAGCCCTGCACATCTTACAACATCTGTCAGCAATACCTGAAGCCACTGGGGCGAAGAAAGAGCTTGCCCAATGCTATTATCTTCTTCAGCATTAACACTGCAGGTGCAACTCCGCTCTGGTTTTTCAGAGCGTCTTGGAAAACATACTTTTTAAAAAGCTGGGAGTTGAGCAGGCTATCCTGTGGCAACATTGTCAGGAGGTGTGATCATTCAGCCTTAGCTCTTTCTCATTTGTTTGGATGGCTGAATTTTGGATGCAGAGGAAACTTGGAGCTTTCAGCTGGTAATTTGTGTTCTTTTCTTGCTTTATATCTAACGAACAACCAGCTCTTGTGCTCAAAAGTGATTCATATCTTGTTTAGCACCTAACTAGGCAGCTGCAGTTGGGCTTTTGAGGAGGAGCTGCAATACAGCTTGTTTTCAGTGAGAAGGCGAAGAAGGTGTTAGGGATCATTTCATTGATCCACTCACTCTTCAGTACAAACCCACAAGTATTGGTATCATTACAGCTGAGGAAGAAGCAAGAGAATGAACGATCAAGGTCTGAGTGAGAGCACTGTCCAGAAACATCTACCATAAGACTACACCTTTTGGGCCAGTTTCTTTGATTTAAGCTTCATTGTTCAGTTCAGACTCAACATTTTGAATGTATTTCTGAGGGCTTGGATACATTTCAGAGTGCTTTTGGGAGAAATGTGTTTGGAGGAACAGCACAAAGAGCCATACAGGACTGGAGAACCAGTTGGTCATCATGTTGATGCAGAGCAGCAGGTATGAAGGGTGTGAAATGAGGTTGCACTGTGCAGGGTTTCACATCAAACCCGTGCGGAGGATAACTGCTCGCTGCCTCGAACTCCAGTGGTTTTGGGGCCAGAAATAATGAGAGATCCTTAGTGTTTAAGAACAGTGTTAGTGCCTTAACAAATTTGCTAGTGCTTAATGTTATTCTGGTGTGGAATAATTATGTTGAAGTCTGCTTTGGAGAATTCTGGTATTTGTACCACCTGCAAAATGGAATTTAAATCTTCAGTTGACCTGCAATGCGTGACGATGCCTCTGGATAGACCTTTCATCGAAAACAGCTCAGGGGATCTTGTGCTAAGGAGGAATTACAAGTCTGGCAGCACTGTAATTGAGGTTAATCATGTAACTGACAACCATCTACAGAATCGAATTGGATGTATTGGGAAAAACATTTTATAATACTGCGATTACCAATGGGAATTACTGTATGACTTGAATACTGCAGAACTGTGCATCAAACTGTCCTTTATGTAACTAAAATTGATAGATTTGGTGGTTTCTCTCTACATGGGTAAACTGGATGTTTCAGCAGAGCATAGATAACAATGTTTTGTCCTGCTTGTTGGACTGAAAAGAAAAACCAGTTAAACTTAAAATTGCAAGTAAACTTGATTTTTAAACTAAAATTAGTGTAACAAGCTTTTAGTGTTCCAGGAGTTTAGTGTTGTGGCTTTCTTTAAACCACTGTCAGTGGAGAACAGAAAATTTTAGTTAACCCTGAAATAAATGTTGAGTATGATAAATGGACATTATGGCAATTCTAAATACTTTACTTACTTGTTTTCTCAGATGGAGCTGAAGAAGAAAAAATGGAAACCGAGACAGATGGGCAACAGTCGGAGAAGGTAAGGTTGGCTCAGTACACTGGTTCTGAAAAGATAGTTCTGACACTTACGAACCTGAATTATTACATTCTAAAATGCTGTGTAAGAAAGGTAGATGGTAGTGTGCTGGTCAGTGTGTGTGTCCATAGGGAACAGTTTTCAGTCTTCTGAGTCTTCATTTTCTTATGATTGATTTAGTCTCATGTCATAGGAACATAGAATCTTTTAGGTTGGAAAAGACCTTTAAGATCATCAAGCCCAACCGTTAACCCAGCACTGCCAAGCCCACCACTAAACCATGTCCCTAAGCACCACATCTACACGTCTTTTAAATACCCCCAGGGGCGGAGACTCCACCACTGCCCTGGGCAGCCTGTTCCAAGGCTTGACAACCCTTTTGGTGAAGAAGTTTTTCCTAATATCCAATCTAAACCTCCCCTGGTGCAACTTGAGGCTGTTTCCTCTCGTCCTATCGCTTGTTCCTTGGGAGAAGAGACCAACACCCACCTCACTACAACCTCCTTTCAGGGAGTTGTAGAGCGCGATGAGGCCTCCCCTCAGCCTCCTCTTCTCCAGGCTAAACAGCCCCAGTTCCCTGAGCCGCTCCTCATCAGACTTGTGCTCCAGACCCTTCACCAGCTTCAGTGCTCTTCTTTGGACATGTGTATAGAGACATCGTACAGAGATGTTTCTTTTGCTGGGCAAACAACAGGAATGAGACATTGGTGTGTTATTTTCTAGTCCTGAGAAAAAAGGTTGGGACTGGGTGATAGCAAACGAATTAGAGACTTAAGCTGCAGAAGAACATTGGTATGTTCTGGTTCATGACTGGTAGTGGTCTAAAGCAAGTGTCTCTTTGAAGTCGTGCCCTAAGTCTTGTGAAGTCTTGTGACAAATTGCCTTCCCAAAGTTGAACACAGCTTTCAGTTCTGACAAGATCAGCGAGATCAGGGCTTTCCAGGAAATGGGTGAGTTTGGGTTACTCGCTGTATTTGACAACCATTTGTGAGCGCGGTGTGTGGAGCTGAACAGAAAACCTGAATGAAACTATTGCCCCGGCTGCATCGCAGCTCTCCAGTGACAATGTGAGTTACGTGTCTGTTCGGTCTGCACGATCACATGTGCTTAGTAGGTGTGGGAGGATGAGATCTGGCTGACTAAAGGAAGGTGCCAGTAGCTGAGCTGGTCAGTAAAACTCCTCTTTGTAAGAAGTCTGGCTAACTCTTGGTTATAGGTGTGCATATTGTGTACTTTTGATGTTAGGTATGATGCATCCTGCCCATAAAGATCAGATATTTAGAAATTAATTCCTTCAACCTGCTGATGGTGCATACAAGAATGCAGTTGTATGGGGTTTTTTATAACCCCATGTCTACAAACAGAGTAGCTCTTTTCAGATAGTCTACAATAATGGCACTGGCTGTGATTGTTTCGGACCTGAACTGGAATTAAACTAATATCCTGGAATTAGAACATCACCCTGCTAAATAAATGGTGGTAGGCACTTACTGAGTCTGCAGCAACAGGTGATATTTCTGTGTTGCCTGCTTAGTCAAATGAATGGAATAAAACTAACCTAATGGCTGCTGAGTGTAGTTTTGATGTTACTCCTCGCTCTCTTTTTCAGGTAGATCTTTTGCTGCCTTTCTGGTAAATAGCCAGGTACACTTAGGTAGATATAAGTGTAGCAGACTTGGTCAGAGCTTGAAAAGATGCATTGTTCTGTAGAGCAGAACAAATGAGAAACATTCAGGTCAGTTTGGAGTATTTTCAAGGGGAGAATGATGCTTCCAGTGTTAAACATGAAGCTGCTGCTGATTTCATTAATACTATGTGAAGGCACCTAGATTTTAACAAGAAATATTTTTATTTTACTTCCATTTTGCAAATGTCGCTCTCTTCCGCCAATTCCTGGGCAGAGGCACCCTCCTGTAACATGTAATTCAGTTGTAGCATTTATTGCCACAGGATGCTGTTGTGACCGTGAGTTCTGCAGAATTTGGAGCTGTGTGGATAGGTGAATACTGTATAAATTGTTAACATGGCAGACACTGGAAAGGATATAAAACTTACGCACAAACTACTGGAATAAATGGGGGCAGCACAAGGGGAGCAGAACATGTTCTTATGTCATCTTAGTTCAGGATTTCTTGTACCTTCAAATGAAATTTGGCCTGGGTTACTGAATCTGATAGACGTCCGTCCAGTATAGCAGTTACTTTGTTTACTGAGATCTTGGATACGATTGTCAAAATGGGCTTAAGTGTAGCAGTCAACTTTTTTTAATCTCTTCTTTTATGATAGTGAGTTAATTTGAAAGCTATAAACGAAGTGAACAGTGAATGTCTTCTATAGCTCTCATTCTTCAAACAATCTTTCATCCCATTTAGGTTGAAAGTAAAGTGGAGAGTGAAATTGAGGAAGGCGATAAAGTACAAGAAGGAGAAAATGAGAGACATCCAGAAAAAGAGCAAGATAGCGAAGTGACTGCAGACACCAAGCCAGGTAATGGTCCCCAGCTGTTCCTCAAGCTGTGTTAGCTTTAATAGCCTTCCTCTAAAGTGGTTGGAATAGACTATAAACTCAACTGTGGCAGAAATATTTCCTCTTGCACATCAGGCTGCTTCCTGGTTCAGTAGTAAATATTCTAGTTTAATTTCACTGCAAAGCTTAGGCACTAAATTCTTTCTTGAACTCATTTTAGACCTCAGCTGAGCTTTCTGTCACTGTGTGTAGTGACTGGGTGAAGAAATTGCAGTAGCAAAGTGCATGTAGGTCGTATAAATTATTTTCTTTTGCCTGTATTGCACACCATTTGATCATTTTTGATGCAAAGAAATGGGACTGCTCACTTCTACCCTTAGAAGTTAATATGTTAACTCAGTTTCCCTGTGAAGTGATGCAGATCCTTTATTTTGACAGGCTAAGGAGTACTGGGTTTTTTTCTACAGAAGACATTCTTCTTATTATTTATTTTTAACACGTTCCCCTTGTACCACATGGATATATTGTTTTTTCCTGGAACTAACATTCAGTATTTTAGCATCGGGTAGAACAAGATGTCTTCGGATTTACATACAAGAGCAGATTATAATGGAGTTGATTGGGAAATGCAGCTGAAATTGTTCTGATGAGAGTAAGCTGACGGCAGAAGATGAACTGACAGGATGGAAACTAAAAGCATTTAAAGTTGCCCTATTTGTTGGATCAGATCCTCTTAGACTAGAATCGTTCCCGTCAGCGTTTGGACAAGTAGCGGTACTATAACATAGGAGTGTGGATGAATTAGTTTGACTAATAGCAGTGTGCGTAGTGTAATTCCTGTCCTGATGCGATACTGTTAACAAGGGGAGAACGCGTGTAACAGACTTGGCGGTAAATCTCTTCCAGAAGAAAAGGAGGCAGAAGAGAACAAGGAGAATGTTGATGCAAGCAAAGACAAAGAAAACGAGGCTGGGAAGAAGAAAGTGGAACATGAAATCTCGGAAGGAAACGTAGCCACAGCTGCAGCTGCTGCCCTTGCCTCAGCTGCCACCAAAGCAAAGGTTTGTTTTATACAAATATCCATTGGCTTGGTTTCCAGTTCACATTAGAACTCTTCTTAAAATGGTCCTTTGTTCCAGATCTGTGCGATTTCATGTTCTAATCTCTAATACCTTGAAGCAGCACAGATGCCTCCTTCAATTTCTTTTGCTTGAACTCCTAGGTGAAATAATGTACAATTTTAATTTAGGCAGCTACTTTTATGATTATGAAGTCGATGAACATCCCTAAGAAATAGCCTCAAAATATGTCTGTCATTTTTTGGAAAGACTTTTTTGTGCTCAATAGGTCTAGCTGTAATGCTGAGTGCATAGGCCTGGGTGGCAAAACCCTTATGTTGCCTTTTTTGCTGTGCCACCGGCTGTTCTACGGACTTCACACAAGTCTTCTGTGCTTGGACTCTTTGTCTGTAAAAGCAATGTGATGTTCAGTTCTGGTGTTACAATTTTTTTATAGACAACTTAATGATTTTTTTTGTTAAGAGGTACTGTGTGTCTGTTAAAAGCATGTTCTTGTCTTTCTATCATTAAACTTCTGTTTGTTTGTCCCTTACTGAGCTGTGGTTTGAATTAGTGTCCTATCTAATAGCTTTTCTTTATCCTATAATTACTAATTGCATGCTGTCTTTCATTTTCTTTTTGCAGGAACCAGACAGCCTTCACTTCTTTCAGAATATCTTTTTCAAAATCTGTTTTCTCTTTACATATTTTTTTGCATTCAAGTTGTAGTTTGGGTTTCTTAATGGCTCTTGGATTCAGTGCCATGTTCCATGTCACCTACTTTATAGATACCAAAAGCAAAGCATGGATGGTGTTTATTTCCTGGTGGATTTCCAGGACGTAACGGTGGACATAATGAGGTGTTGCATGCGTTGTACTGACTCTTGCAGTCTTGATCTTTGACTCTTACAACTTTAACTTTAGACTTTTTTTCCCAACTGCATCATATATATTGAGGATAGTGTGATGATAGGTGTTGTCATGATGATACAGTCCCTGCTTTATGAATCCATGAGATTTGAGGATATTTTTAGTTACTACCTTTCAAGCCAGGTTCTAAAATCAGAAGTTGCACGAGTTCAGCATTGCTTAGTGTCAGAGCTAGGCACCCTAGCTGCGTGGAATCCCACTTCGCAGGCAAACTTCAGATTCGTTGTTTTGGTGAAGTGCAGAGTCCTACCTGGCTCCCTTGTGCATCACTTTGTCTGCATCTGAACCTATGGTGCTCTGAGCACCAAGCTCTTTTGCTGAGAGTAACTTAATTTCAGTTCATCAGACTTACAGATATTTCCATCCAAGTTGGAAAAAACCCTGCATATATATATAAAAGGAGGCATGAAATTTAGTCTCTCTTTTATGGAAGGCTACTTGCTCCAAATAAAGATGATCTCCTACTTTCCTTCCTTTGGTGATAACGAGTGCTAGAGGGAGAAGGGACTTGGCTAATGGCAGTTTTCATTATGGTAATAGTAATATTCTAGAAGAATTTTAGCTTTATATTGCAGTAAATAATATATTATTATTAGGATGTTCACACTTCGGAGTAGAATTCAAGTTCAACAGGGATTTCTCTTTCCACTTGCACTTAAAAACCCAGACAATATTAAGACTTTCAGTGAGCTGTATCTTGTCTGAGAGAGTAATTCAGTTCTTCATAATAAGCTCAAGACCTGGTCATGTGAAGAGCTGTTACAAAGTTGTTTTCCGTATGATTTTGTATCAGAGGAATACTGCAGTTGACTTCTAAGGAGAAACAGGGGTTAAAGGCAGGCACTTGAAGTTTTTTGTTCTTTTGAGGTAGGACAGCTTATTGGTGAAGCCACTTACTTGAGAAATGGCATCCAGTGAATGTGTTCATTTAGGGGTGAGACTACATTCCTATGTATAGAATGGAGCAACAATTTTAAATGCATTTTTACAGGTTATGGCTTCTGTACAAGCAATATTAGAATTATTTAAGTTCCTTTTCCTCATTTTCTTCTCAGATTCCTAAATCAATGTAAGCTTTTTTCTTTTCTGTGCATAAGTAGCACCTGATAGAAAATGTCCTCTCTCCTGCAGATTGCTGTTAGCTTTTGTCCAGTTGTGACTGAGCTGCAGAGCTTCTGCTGTAGCTCTTGATCCATCACTTACACTGCCAAAAAGGACTGTTCTGGTCGTAATTTGACCTCATGCGTAACACTGATCCCATGACTTCTCTGAATTTCTGTTTTGAGGTGGTTGCGATTGAATACATCTTTTCTAGAAGACATTGATATCAAAACTGCCAGTGATGCAAAACCTCCTATAATTGTCCATAAGCTTTTCCATGGGTGGTAAACTTCGCTGTTAAGCTTTATTCCTAATCTGATATGCTTCAACCACTAACTCTTGTACCATAGCAGCACTTTCCTTTGCCTGCTGAATTAAAAAGCTTTTTTCTCATGTGTAGGTGCTTAGAAACGTTACATTCAGGAATAGAAGGGACCCTGTTGCTAAAATCATGTTTCTTCTTTTTGCAGGCAGCTACGTCCCATCTTCTGTTTATAGGCAAATCAAATTATGGCTTTAATTGGTTCCTTTTTGCTGCTGCTTGAGAAACTCACTGTAGGACCTCTTTTATCTCATGCTTGAATGTATGCATGACAGAACTTAGTTTTTCCCATTGTGTGCCTTAATTCAGATAGCTCTGTGTTACCTGCCACCTTTATTTCTTCTGTTTCATTTGTGAAAAACAATCTTATCCCCTCTTGGCTTCACAAAACAAAAGCTAGGTGAAGCATCTGGTCTCCTTTCACAAAATAGGAAGAGGGAAGGAAGAAAGTAATTGCCTCTGCCTGTTGCCATTTCAGTTAACCTCTTGTGTGTGGATGAGAAGACTTCAGCACAATATTCCAGTGAGGTGGTGCTAGGATGCTGTCCATTTTCCAGAGGTCTCTTGTGGTCTGGTTGTATATACAGTTGCCATACTCATGCTCTTGCTGTGATTAGCTAATTTCACAACTAAAGCTGGGTTTGAGAAGATCAGGGGATGGGCCAGGTCCTGTGAGACTGCCTGTAACGTGTGTGTGCTGGTCAGTAACTAGCCTTGTGATTCCTCCCGAGTCTATCAGTATTCAGCCAGAAGGGATTTCTGAGCAGAGAAACCAGAATCAGTATTGTGGCGAGGGGCACACCCCGCGCAGAGGCACTCATGGCTACACGTGTGTTTAAACAGCAAACCAAAGCGTTGTTCTTTATCCACTCTTGGCCAGAGGCCAGGTCCACCTCGCTTAGTGACGCTCAGGTCGTTCAGAATTGCTGTGTCCCAGGATAATGTCACATACCGTCTTCTTTTTTGCTTATTTATGACTTAAGGTGGATGCAGCAATGTGTTTATCAGGCAATTTAAATCACTATTAATTTTGTCTTACTGGAGTTTTTTTGTCAACTGCAGAGTCAGTAATGACTTGTTCTTTGTCCATGTGAAAGCCCTGGGTAATGCCAGGCTCAGGAGCAGTCTCTCTGGGTCTCTTCAGGAAAAACGTCAATGATGATTTCCTTTCTAATGTGTATTTTGAGACCTGTCTTTTACCTAATCGTGTGCCTTGCTGATTTTATGTTAATCTGGTTTCATTATTAAAATTGCACACATCAAGCAAGGCCAAATGGTTGTCAGAAGGCTGTGTGTATCAACAAAGGTACTTCTGTCACTCTGACTTTTCATACAAACGAGTTTGTTCTACTAAACAGTATTAATTGACGTTAAATTTTTTAGTTCTGTCAGCCATTCAGTTACTTTAGTGTGCACCACTGGTCAGTATTTAACTGAATAGCCTACCTGAATTTCACAGTGGCATGCTGTTAGAGGGACTTGGGTGATGACTCTGGTTCTCTCAAACTGTACCTGATTTAAAATTAAACTTACTGAGAGTCTTGAATGTATGTTATCTAGATTTACTGAAGATTTCCTTTATTGCTGCTGGGTTACCAGCAGTGAATGCTGTCAAATGACACAACATAGCAGCGATGAAAACAATATCATGTGTTTTTGAGAAATTCTGATTATAATTAGGAGTTTTATAAGGCTTCTTTTCTCCAGCTCAGTGTTTCTGCCGGTTCTGAGCCAAGGTTTGGGGCACAGCTTGCTAAATATGAGTCTCTGTTTGCAGCTTGAGCTGGATGACGTCCAGCTTTCTCTTTTTTCCTTCTTCCCCTCAGCCCTCACCTTTCCCTTCTCCAAAGCCAACCCTGCTTCCCCCTCAGCCCTCGGATGTGTCAGTAGGGCTTTGCTTGGACACGATGGTCAGGAAACCTCTGACCATTAATACAGAAACTTCCAAGCAGTACACATGATGGGTGTTTTGAGTGTATGTTCACGTTGAACAGCAGGCTTTTAACAAAAGCTGGTAGAAGGCATCATTAACGTGCCTTTCACACTTGGAAAACGTGAAACACTTTTATACACATATATATCCTGTATCATTCATGTATAAGTGTGTATATGTAAATGGGGTAAAGCTAAAGCCGTGTAAAGAATCTATTTGCCTTTTTCTGCAGTTCGCTTTTGCAGTTTAAATACAGCTTTGCCTTCAGCTTTCTTCTGCAATAGGAATACTATGCAACTTGATTATAAAAGGAAACTGGAGATATTTTTTTTTAACAGTTTCTTCTAAAACCTGTGTAGAGATTACTCTGCAAGCTCTCCCTAGCCCGAGGTGGGACTTCTGCGCTGAGAAAGCTTATGCTTTAGTGGTGTGGTGCTGCATGTAATGGGAATATGCTTAACTAGATACATAACTTCTCATTTACTTGAGCAAAAAAATATTTTAATGGCAAAGGCATGCAAGAGTCATCTCACTGTTTTTGTGGGTCGTTCCAGGTAAAAGCCTCCTGTGTGTGTTTTGGTGAAAGCTTTTTGGATGACCTACCGCTGACTCGGTACAACGTACCCTTGCTCCCTCATTTGCATTTCCACTGAAAGTGCTCTCTGTTGCACAGCACTCGGAAGGCTTTGAGGCAAAGCTGGATTGCTTATGAGTACTGAGCATCCACAATACCTCTTGTATTAAAACTTGGCACCTACTTGTTTGATTAAAAGCTTAATAATCTTCCAAAGGCTTCTGGTTCCGAGCATAAGATTGTTAATCTAATGCCCTGTTTTCTGTCCAGAAGTGGAATAGCATGGCTAAAGCTAGATGCAGGCATAGTTGGCGTATTTGTTTCCCTTAAAGCTCTTTATTTTGTGAAATGCATGTAAAGCAAAAACCTGTGTTTTATCCTCAGCACCTGGCAGCAGTGGAAGAAAGAAAGATCAAGTCCCTGGTTGCCCTTCTGGTGGAAACACAGATGAAGAAGCTGGAGATAAAACTTCGCCATTTTGAGGAGTTGGAAACCATTATGGACAGAGAGAAAGAGGCAGTAAGTAGGAGGGTACTAATCTGAAATCCTGCATTTAATCAGTCACTGCCAAGATCTATGCATGCTAGCAGCCGGAAAACTAGCAACTTCAGCTGTTCCTCACCTTTATGCAGGTCTTTTTGCCTCAGCTAGAATTCGTAATTACCCCCTACAGTAGTGTTTGAGCTCTCTCCTCTATCCAGATCTTCCCTTTACCATAAGCAGCAAACTGGTAGTATCCTAGATTTGCTTCCTAATCCGTACTTCTGTCATCTAAGCATGAATGTGAAATTGGTCCAGAACCTTTATATAGGCCTTGTCACATGAATGATATCTGATGTACGAATGGCTTTTCCGTATAAAGAGAGTGAAATGGATGGAAACCATACTTCCCTAAGGGAAGGGAAACCAGCTCTGTCTGCCTTGCCTTCCTGACCCAGTTTAGGCTGGAGATTTGGTTTTAAGCATGTAGTTCAGGTTTTGTTTGGAGGGCATTCTCAGTAGCTCTTGGGAAAGTTGTCAAAGTGAGATGCAGTAGCAGAAGGATACGTGCTCAGGAGTAACAGCTTCTCATTTTGTGATGATGAGGGATTTGCCTGAGCTGGAGAGGGCAACAGCTCAGAGAAGGGAAGGGAGCAATGATGTCAGGAGATGGGAAAAGGTGGTTGCTCGTAGGCACCAGAAAAGTATCAAAATAGAACAAAGCTGAACTGACAAATCTAATGATGAAGTGCTACGGATGAGGAGGAGGAGCTGGGCAAGCTAAGCAAGAAGGTAGTTAGTTTCTGTCCTCAATCTAGTGAGGCAGTAAGCCAAGGCACAGGTCTTGAATTGAGGTCTAGCCAGCTGAAGACGGTGATGACACTAAGAGAGCATATGTATGATGCATCCCAAGCAGGCTTGTATTTATATTTTAGCACTATTAGTGACACCTTACTGGAGAGCAATGTATCCCTAAAATCAGGGTATAACATGGAAGAGATGCTGTCTCTGCCAGTCAGTGGCTGGATTACGCATCGATTACTAAGTGTTCTTTCATATATAGTGCAGCAGGCTTTCAGAGAAGTGGTTTCTCTCCAGCTACTGTAAAGATCACCCAAAACTTCATTTTTATCAGAGAGCAGTCAGGTTTTTTTATTTTTCTGTTTTGTAGCTTACTTATTTTTTGTCAATAGGCAATTACTCTGGATGTGTTGAAGATATTGACTCATAATTCTAGGGGTTTTCACATTTGTCCTATCGTGCAAATTGAATGGAATTTACACCCTCACTTTGGCATTAATCATATTGATAGAGTTTGACAAACTGTGGTCTTTTGTTGTAGCAGAATGTCAGCAAGAATTTCTAGATTGCTTAGCATCCACAACCATTTCAGTGTGGTGTTTGCCTCCGACGCTGATTGGCAGCTCAAGAAATGGACCTAACTATTTTGAAAAGGTTCTCTGTAGATATCTGTCTTTGGGGGGTATATTCTATTAGTGACAGGGTTTTTTTTTTCCATTTTGAGTCATATGACATTTTCCTTTTTAAAAATGTGCATACAGATTTTTCACTTTCTGGTAGGGTAGTTAAATTCGGTCTTTTCACCTGTCACTATGGATATTTAGTGGAATAATGAAAGCAAAAAAAAATCCTTAGCAATTTTGTACACTATGCATATGTCCATATTTGCTGCACTGGCTTTTTCTTATAGTAAAGGTAAGGCGATTGTAAGTGTTGAAAGAAATCTGTGCTGCAGACTGGAGGGTGTTAGATTTTAGGCAAAACGCATTTACTTCAGTGTTTAAGCTAAAGTAATTTCAGTGCTGCCAACTCTGTGTCTAACCAGGGATCGTACTGTTAGGAGCCTTGTTGACCCAGAATTTATAATAGCACATAAATGCTTTCTTTACCCATTTCTGGTTAGGGAGGAGTTACTTGCTGAAGATGAAATTGTAGTACAATGATGGTTATTGCATGAGTATACATTAAGTGCTTGTAATAGTGCCTTCTAATTGTGAATCACTTTGCAACAGTGCAACAAACATGCTGTTGCAAATTTGAAGATCGTCAAGAGTGTAGTATTCATGACTACGTACCTAAAAATTTGGCTGATTTCATGAATTGGGTTGTATAGGAGGTTGTGTGGCAGACTGATACATGCTGATCTTCGTTAAGGTGCCTAGCCTCACTCTTGCCTGACCGCCACTGCAGGTTTAACTGAGTTTTGAGGGTTGAAGAGTAAATGCAAATTATTGATAGACTGCCCACCAGAAAATGTGTTACTACTAGTTGTCTTAATGCTAATCTGGGGCTACGGCAGTAGGTTGTGTCCATAAACCTGCTTCTGAAATGATTACAACAAATACAAGAACCTAGTACAGAACCAGGTGTGTTGGCTTAGCATGAATTTTAAGACCAGCTTGTGTTGTAACTTGTGTTTATGTGCCTTTTTTCTCTGTCCAACTCTCTCCCCTCATCCTGAGGGGAAGGGAATGTGTAGAAGGGAAGTTTTCACTGGTTTTCCGAAGTACAAGGTGTGTTTTCAGGCACTGCCTGCTGTTTGGGGATACTTGTAAAGACTGTTTTTTAAACTGTGGCAGGATAGGGTACCATGAAGAGAGCAAAGCAGGAATACAAAAGAGTATAAAAAGAAGATGATAAGTATGGTGTAGCCATACTTCTTACCTAAGCCTTTGTTTCGCATCATTTGCACTAATTCTTTTCTGAACTCCCTGCCACCTACTGAATCTGTTTCCACACATGCACGATTACACCATTGGTGTACGTGTCTCTGCATTTTATCAAGTTCTTCCCGCTAACGTATCAGATTGGTCAAGGAAAAAGGAGTCATGGCAGCATGAATAATCACATTGTAGTCCCTACATGCAGAAAACCAGCCCCCAATGAGGAGTATGTATTATTCATTAGGTTCTGTCCCCATCTGGTTCTGCTGGTGAATGCGTGCTCTGTAGTATTCTGTTTTCATCCACGCTTTGTCAGCAGTAAAACTGCTAACACAAAGTATTGATGGAGCTTTGGGATTTTTGGAGAACTTCTGCTAGGTGGAAGTCTCCTTGGCAACCAGCTTTTCAGATAAATTATGGAGTATACGTTAAAATACTCATTAAATATTTGTAAACTAGTCATACCAATCCATGTGTCCAATTGCTTAAGAGTAATAGATGTAGACATGCGTTATGATTTCTTAAATAAGTCAAATGACAAACGCTTCCTTAACCAGGACGGTGATCAATCATATAAATGCCCAATAGTTAGAAATATTTTCTATAGCTTTTTTGTCTTTTCTTTTTGGGCTTGCTTACTCTCTACATGGCTTCATAATTAAAGTAGCCTATTTTATGTTAATCGGCCTAAATTACATGAGTTTTTTTACATAATACTCCTCTTAATAGTGCAAGTCATTGCTGTCTGGCTATCATGATGTCAAAGTCCTACACTTAAAATAAAGGTACGGAGTAGGATCCTGGCTGTAATCACTGAGCTCGTGCTATTGCACACATATTCTGCTTTGGTCTTGCCCTAGAAAATCTCTTTAATTTCCTGTTCCCCCTTGTTCCAACATGCAGAAGATTGAGAGAAAAACATACAGTTTCTTCTAGAATTGTATTAAGGCTGAATGCTCTGCACAGTAGTTGAGTAATTGAGTAATGTGTTGTATTACTGAGAGATTCTTTAGGACAAAACCAGATGAGTTCATCTGCTCCAGCTGGAAAATGGCCTGGACCCTGTACCAAAACCTGCTGCAAATCAGACAGTTGTATATCAATAGGATAAGTGTTTGATATGCAGAAACATGTTTATATATATATAGTTCTTAACTTCGCTTTGCCTTTTTTCCCGTATTTTTGACATAGTTAGAGCAGCAGAGACAACAGTTGCTGACAGAACGCCAGAATTTTCACATGGAACAGCTGAAATATGCTGAATTAAGGGCTCGTCAGCAAATGGAGCAGCAGCACAGTCAAAACCCACAGCAGTCTCACCAGCACTCCAGTGGGCCTGGGATGAACCCCCTCGGGGCACCAGCACATCCAGGCTTACTGCCTCATCAGCAGCCCCCGCCGTACCCTATGATGCACCACCAAATGCCACCACCTCACCCACCACAGCCAGGTAAGAGTTGGAAGGAGAAAATCCCTGTATGTTAATCACCGTTCATAACAAGAGTAAAACCAGAGGAAGAGGTATTGCCAGGTAAAATTGTAGAAGGTGTAATGGATGGTCTGTGTTATGTAGTGGTTTATAATGGCGCTGCTTATAAAGCGGAAACACAGTTTGCTAGGAAGATGAGCTGTGCTTGTACTGCAGCTTCAATTTATAGCTTGACAGTGCCAGATGTGCGGATGGAGTTTGGGGCGGCGGTATCTTACCAGTGTGTATGAATACCCAAAAGGAGGGTATGAAAGAGAGCGCCAGACTCTTCTCAGTAGAACCCAGTGACAGGGCAAGAGGCAATGGGCGCAAATTAAAACACGTGAAGTTCCATCTGGACACAGAAAAACACACTTTTTTCTTCCCCCCCTGCCCCGTGAGGGTCATCAAACCCTGGAGCAGGTTGCCCAGCAAGGTTGTGGAGTCTCCATCCTTGGAGGTAGTCACGCCAAGCTCTACAGTAAAAAATGGAGTTGCCACTAAGTATCACCTTCAAATGTTTTTAGCTTGTTTGTTTGTATTTCCTTAGACTTCTTTTATGCCTAGTGATCTGAGCAGAGATGCTCCTTCAAAAACAATCATTCCCTCAAATTCTCCAGTTCATGACACACCTAACCATGTAAAAAAACTTAGAGGAGAGGACCGGATCGAGAAGCAGACGCAGGAAGCTCTTTAAGCAGTTTCCTTTGGCAGGACATCTGATTCTGATATGTTTCTAAGCCCTACTCGGGGCTTTGCTTTCAGGCTTCTGCCCTTCAGTTGTGCTTGATGGCAGATGAGAGTCGCAGGACCGTGTTGGTCAGAAGGGTCACTTGAAAGTCTCCAGTCCAGCCTCCTGCTCAGAGCAGGGCCAGCTGGACCCAATTGCAAGGGACTTATGCTCTTGAGGTTTAGCTATCTCCAAGGGTGAAGATATTCCTAATACCAAAGGATGGAGAAATTGGGTGACTGTGCCTCACCTCAGGAGGAGGAACATCCACTGGGCATAAAAAATATTACTGCCACTTATTCAAAACAACTATTTGTGCTTAATGGCAAAACTAACAGCCATACTGTTAAGTAACTGAGTTGCTAACAGTATTTGCAGTCTCAGCCTTAAACGTTTTTACTGTTAAAGGGGATTGGGACTACTAAATGTTGTACTTTTGCTGTGAAGATGCTTATGGGAATTAGAATTGAAGGCTTTACTGTACTTGCTAAATGTTGTTGAAATGATAATTTAAAATAGAATAGCACCACCTGACATGTAGTAACCTGATTGTCTGACTAGACCACAGCAAAGGAGAATAGCTTTTGTCAATTTTCAACTGCTTGACCAAAAGCCATTCTAAAAGAAGACCTGGTTATTAGCCAAAAATATTTCGGAAGGTCTTGTATACGCTGCTGCTGAAAAAGCTGAAAAGTTTTGGGTATCATAATCAAAATAGGACGTGGCAAGAGAAAGCCTGCAGAAGCTTGAGTTTTCATCTTGGGAAAAGACCTATGTTAAGTGTATGGTTTGGAAAAGAGCAGAAGTGCGTACTAAACTAGAAGGATTTACAGATGACCATGAAAATGTGAGGCATCTAATCCAACTGCATGAATCTCCACATTAATAAAACTTGATTCAATCAACAGATGCAGAGTCATGCTCACTGGAGAGGAAGGCAGGAGTTAGTCTTGTGGTCTAGATGCTTAAGCTAACCACCTTTTAAAGGGATCAGAGTCGGTGAGCTCCTGGATTCATTATGCACTTGTGGACAAAAAGTTAATGCTGATACTGTTTTGGGAGCTGTTTTGTTTTTTGCTGAAATTGAATTGGGGGTGCGATAATATATGGGCTGGTTTTTAGATTCAAATAATACTGCAGCTCAATTTGCCTATTGTACGCTGTGTTGACAACTCAGTTCTATTCACCTGGCAGTAGAATGGAGAGACATTCTGTGGAATGGAAAAATGGCCAATTGCAAACAGATTAAAGGGGGGAATCCTTGCATATGATTAGACTAGTTCTTACAAGCTGCGATTGAGACTGAAAATGTAACAAGATTAAATGCATTGTTGTATTCACTCGGGGACTAATAAAACTTGACTTCTAATATATTCACATCCTTGGTTTACATAATACCTTATTACTTCAGCCCCATCATAATCATCCAGGCCCTCTATATCCCCAGTGATCCCTTTCAGTGTATATTGTGGGGAGTGTGGTACTGTGTTAATTAGTCAGGATGTCTCATTTTCAAATTTGATTAAAGTTAGTCAATAGATTGACTTTTCCACCACCACCTCCCCTCCTGTTAGAGGGTGGCAAACTGATGGATGAGGCGCAGCACTTCTGGCTCCTGCGACTGAAGCATCTGGTGCTGTCTCATGCCATAGAGATATAGGACTAGGATCTTGCCCTTTACCTAGTCTGACAGTTCACTGGTTTCATATTTTTGTGAAGGTGAGGGTTCAGAGGCCCTTCAAAAGACTGAGAGTTTGAAGGCAAACCCCGCTGCTTCTTCTACCATATCCCAACTGATCTTGCCTAGAAAACAGAAGAGTCTCTTTTCCTCAGGCTCTGCGGTGGCAGTCCTTAAGTTTGTTAGAAATGCTTGGGAAATCAACAACTTAGTACCAAAGCTCTTTGGCTTCACAGTGGGTTTTGCATAACTTGAGGGCAAGGAGAGAAAATGGAAAAGTTCACTGTTTCCTCGAGTGAGTTCAACACTTAAACTCTGAGCCAGTCCTGGGAGCTTGTGTGTAAATAGTAACTTCGGGATCCTTCAGTCCCCAGAGACAGTGACTCACAAACTGACCTGATTTTAGGTAGTTTGAGATGCCCAGAGTTTGACTTTGCTTCACAAATCGGTCCATTGTCACAGGGCGACTCTCTGCTGGAAGGATCTCAGTTGCACACAGTAGACATGAAGTTACAGTCTCCAGAAATCTTACTGGCACACTGAAGCAGTCAGTAGTTGCATTTTGGGTGCACCCCCCACCTCCATGTATTATATACATTAAAAAATAATCCCTTATTGCATCATGTTGGTCATGTTGAATGTTAAATACTATAGAACTTCTGTCGTATCCTACGTATCTTCCTTACTTTCACATTCTGAGGGCAACTGTGGTGTATTTATTGTACTTGTAAGTCTTAGAGCATTAATAATCCAATACTTTCATGGCAGTCCTGTACATACATAGATCAGCAGCAAGTTTTGCTGCTCAGTTGCTAATTTGGGATCCTTTGAAACAAACTGGTGAGCTTCACCTTAATGACCACGCATCTGTAAGTTCCCTTACTGCGTGCCTGCCAGTGATGCTCCTGCAGTCTTGGTGGAGATGCCAAAATTTGGAGGGTGTGGATAGATGAATTTCACCTAGCGGAGGTAGTCCCTGCTAGAGAGGGCTCAGACACACTTGCAGAAGAAATCTGAAAACTCTTTTTTGCTGCTGTTGGTCCTGTAGATGAACCTCTGCCTCCAGAGAGCTGTTGGTGTACTGCTTCCCAGTGCAGAGCTTGACATGCTTTTGTAAGAGGAAGGAGCATTTTCCTTTTCTTCCTTCCTTTCCTTCCTTTCCTCAGCTTCTCTCCAATAACAACCTGCTTTCCCTAAGGTGGCCAATTTCAAGAAACCTCAGTGATGAATACCATGGCATAATTCTTCATTCAGGTATAAAGAGGTTATTGGAGACTTAGACCTAAGTCCCTGCCTGCTGGTCCGTCTCACAGCTCTGCGGGAAGAACTGACCCATTCAGTTTGCGTTAGAGAAAAATCCCAAAACAACTCAGCAGTAACTGAGAAGCACCAGTGGGCAACCTTCCAAAACACAGCCCCGAGGGGAAGCTGGAGATGGAAATAGCCTTCACAATTTCCTGTTCAGCTGCCTGGTTTTAACTCCAGACTTTACCTTGGTTCTCACTGATGTTTTCAAACAGGTTTCTGACCTTAGTAGTGACTAAAAGTGTAACTGTTGGTTCAGTAGACCGTGAATAAAATGCTAAGTCGGATGTCTTTAAAGTGAGTGACGAAAGCTGAAGAGATGGTAGGAAACAGAGTGATGAAAGGATCTGGAAAGGCATTTATAAATGGAAGGGAAAAAAAAAAAAATCGTGCTTACAGCTCTTCTGAATTCAGAGGCAGAAGCAGTTAAGCCAGATCTCTTATCTAAAAGTTAACAGTGAAGCTTTTTCCAGAAAAATGTTCTTTAGCTTAGATGTCAGTCTCTGGAAACAGCTGGTGAACATCTCCAGTCGAGGGTCAGTCTTTGCAGTGAGCTGCTGTTCATCGGCATGGCCGCGCGGGTTCTGCTGGACCACAGAATTTGCTGGGACATGCGGAAGAGCTAAAATCAGTCCAGAGGCCAGTGCCCACGGGCAGGTTTGGTGAGAGAGAAACTAAGACAAGAAACCAGCAGAGCTCCTCCAGAGAGGAGAGCTGTTGGTGAATTCCACTTAAAGCAAGAATTTTCTGGACAATATGGAACGCACAGCCAGAGAGGCTTCTTAGAAGTTTTCGCTGCTTCTCCCATGGCTTTTCTTTCTGGGTCTGGGAAAACTGCCTTTTTGCTAGTCATAGCAAGCAACACGGCTTGATGGTTAAAAAGCTTTGAGTTTAAAAAGTTGAAATAGAACTCTGTTACCAGTTTGCTGTGACGTACAGTTTAACTTGATGCCTGCTTCTCCAGTGCAAGTGTTTCGAGTTTGGCTGCCTTCAGTTTGTCCTTTGGTGCCTGGGTGTGATGAGATTCTGGTCACCTCGATGACCAGATGTTGCCGTTTTTGGGCACGGGCACTGATTTCAGGCAAGTCCCACTACTAGCTCATTTCCCAGATTTTTTAATTTTAACTTCATTTTGACTGAGCTTATTTTGTTCTCTTCTTTCCCCTGGAATGAAGACTTTTAAAATAGAAAAATAAAATTGGATTCCAATTTCACTGTGAAAAGCTGTACCTTGTAATTAGAACGGAAAATAAAATTCCCAATTTCTTC